AGAACATTTTTGCTACTTAGTTGTTTAAAGTGAGTTTGGGTCATTTCAAAGCAGGTCTCTAGTCTTCTAAGGAAGTAAGTTTTGGAGGTAGGAAGATAATAGCCCGTTTCTGTTGCTTATAACAGAATACCTGAAACTGGCTAATTTATAAAGAAATAGAATTTATTTCTTGCAGTTCTGGAGGCTGCGAAGTCCAAAGTCCAGAACATATCATGGTGAGAATGGCTGAGCAAGAGAGAGCTAATCTGCTCCTTATAAAGCCATCAGAACCATACCCATTAAACTGTCAACTTATTACTCTATGCATGGATCAATCCATTCGCTAGGGCATGGTCCTCACAATCTAATCAACTTGAAAAGGTTTCCTCCCTTTCGATTACGATCATAGGATTTCCCTGCCCTTAACACTGTTACAGTGGGGATTTAATACATGAAACTTTGGGGGACACAGTTCAGCCCATAGCAGTAATGTTCTTTTTCACCTGTGTAGGCTTGATTGTGGTGTGACTGGCACCTGGTCAGTGATTTGCTGTGTCCTTCATTTGTTTCTCATAGATGACAAGTAAAATGGGCATTTTCATAGGAGTGGTGGAAAGGACTTGAGATAGGCTGGAAGCCTGGAGTGAGATGAATGAGGAGCAGAGAGAGGTGGGAGGTGGAGCTTGAGGGTGGGCAAAGGCCAGATCTTGGAGGTCATTAGAGGCCAAATGAAGGGTTTGGGTTTGACACCAATTGCAGCAGGAAGCCACTGGGTGATTTTCAGCAACAGAGTGACCTGACTCATTCTACCTCTCTGGGTCTTCAGTGTCCTGATAAATAGGGTGGTCTGTGTCCCTTCAAGTTGAAACATTCCATGAAAATGGGTGATGTCTGTGTCTCAGATGCTTAGCTGTGTGTATGTCTTCCCTTCTGCCTCTTTCTGCAGGCCTCCACCGCTACATCTGGCTGGTTTATGAGCAGGACAGGCTGCTGAAGTGCGATGAGCCTATTCTCAGCAACCGATCTGGAGACCACCGTGGCAAATTCAAGGTGGCGTCCTTCCGCAAAAAGTATGAGCTGGGACCCCCGGTGGCCGGCTCATGTTACCAGGCTGAATGGGATGACTATGTGCCTAAACTGTATGAGCAGCTGTCTGGGAAGTAAGGGAAAGCTTGGAGACAAAAACTGTCCCAGAGGCCTGAGCAGTGTTCTCAAGTTCAGCATTGCATGTAGATTTCCCCTGTTTACTGACCCCATTCTCACAGTGGCTTAGGGTGACTTTTCCTGCTGCCTGTCCTTCAAAATTCTAGATAGTCACACACCCCAGTTTATGTTTTGGTCAGATTTGAGCTCCATTTTGGGGGATATTTTGGTACTGTGATGGGGCCATCTAATTGTTAATATGAGTGTAAGAATAGCAGCCCAGAATTTAAAGAAGAAAAATCCAGGTAAGAAGACCAGGTTTACAGTAAAAGAGCAAAGCATCAAAGAATCTTTAAGTGAGGTCTAAAAAAAAAAACGGATTCATTCCCTCTGCCTTTGTGTTCCTGAGTCCAGTGTTGTACACGATGTCATCTCTCAGACATGTTTTCACAGTGCTCTCTCTCACCAAGACAGCCAGAGGCTAGCGTTGCAGCTAAATTCCAACATGGTACATTTCGGATGGTGTAATAGATGTCATTATACCACTCTGGCTCCTGTAAAGAGCAATATTGTAAAAAGCATTAGGGAGATTGGCTTTGCTGTTGTTGAGTGAGGCATGACCATCTAGACAGGCAGCAGTGCTAGGTGACAGAATCCTTAAGTCTGTGACTGTTGAATTGATCACTCTTCATTGATGTAAGAAAAGCTGGTCTGGAGTTGCTGAATGTCATGTTAATTCTGCTGTTTGCTTGTAGTTGAATAAAAGTAAAAACATTGAATGCACAAATTGGGCCTCCAGATACTTTCCCCTATTGGGTCTGAGTTTCATAAATGTGGAAAGTCAAGCAACAGCCTCCAAGGGTGAGTAGCCCTTTCCCCAACCAGCTGGGGCTTGATGCAGGAATATACAGAGGGTCCGTGTTTCTATGTGTGCCATTAAAACTACAGCAGGAGCAACCATTCAAACATGAGGCTTTTAAAAAAAATCATAATAGTTTATTTAGGCTAAGTCTTCATGACCAAAAAGCAGGCTTATTACAAGTGGTCCTTTCGACCTGAAAATGAGGTTTTGAAGAAGCTGGTTGAAGACCTTCCCCCTTGATGCAGTC